CTATGTGCACATCGCTCGCCTTGCTCAGCATCGTTGCCTTCTGATCTTCGAGTTGACTTCGAAAACTCCTACGATTACGCTGCCACCGCAATGATGCGGCTTAGCTGCCACCCCGTCGCGCACCCGTAGTGCTGTATGTTATCTACTTTTGGTAGTTCGCAGACCAAGCAGCCTAGCGATCAATTCTCTTAGTTGGTAGCTCTGCATAACACTTTTCCACTGGTGGCTTTTTTGACCTAACGAAATAGCTAAGTAACGGGCTAGACTGAATACGAAAGAAATGAATACGAAACAAATACATGCGAAACAACTCAATATGAAACAAATGAATATGAAACAATTGAATACGAAGCAACTTAATATGAACCAGTTGAATAGAGAACAAGCGAAAATAAAACAGCTGAAAATGAAAAGCTTATAAGAAAACAGCTGAAAAGGAAGCAATGAATAAGGGACCATGTACCTGTTCCATCAAGTCATCTCGTCGCGCCTCGGCGGAAGACGTTGTCGTAAGGCAGCGTCATGATTTTGTTCGGCGTTGACGGTCGAAGCATGGTTTCAGCTATCGACACAGGGCCGATATAGCAGAAACCGCCCTTGGCACGTGGCTTTAGGTTTTTTTCATGTGCACGGCTTCGGGATACAGATTGTCTGTTGGTGTGCGCCACTGTGCGCCACCGTGTGCGCCACTGTTAAAGGCTGCCACGGAAACCCTCGACCGCAGGGCGGGCTGCGGGCTGGAAGGCAGCACTCGAGTCAACTATGTCCGGATACGGCTCGTGTTGTTTACGTGGTGGTCGTTGGCAAACCATTACCGCTATCGGTTTAGTCGGTGAATGTCGGTCATTAGGGTTCCGAAACTGTTTAATTGAAAATTTACGTCGAAGTTGAGCTTGACTCAAAGGCGCTCCGAACGAAGACCGTTAGCAGATTCGTCACGTTTTCGTGTGCTAGTAGGCGACCGGTTTCCTTTAATTAGCTAACGATTCACTCATAAGGCCTACGCTGTTTCACTTGCATAGCCTTGGATAAGACGCTGAGGCAGGACATTGCAAATTATTGCAGGCTGCAGAAGTTGAAACACCGCAACATAATGTCATACTACAAGCTAAACCGGAATCAACAGGGCTTTCATTTTGTAATAAAAATTATGCCTCATGTAGGAAAATGAAGAAAAGGTAATGATGTCAATATGATACGAACGCGAGGTCTGAAATTGTGCGAAGCTCAATCAGCTGGGTTTAATTGGAGTGGACATCTCGGTTTTCGTTGTCTTGTTGCATCTGTGAAGCATCTCTTAACTACTCAGTTCAACGTCGATACAGTTTTGCGCTCACCTTTTGAGATGTGCTGTTTGTACTAAATCTTCAGAGGGTTGGGGGGGGGGGGGGCAAACACACCGTTGGAGGGGGCAGGGAGTGGTGGAAGTAAGAGTGTGGGTATAGACGTTACATTGTGGTTTAAATTAATTTTAGTGCAGATCCTATTCAGCGGCAACTGCAGTTGTTGCGATTGTCGACGTCAGGACAGCCATGGTCGTCATGACGGCGGTAGAATCTGCTAAGAATGATGTAATTCTAAAGATAATAAAGTTAATTTCGTACCACCAGCTTGGTATATACCTTTGCACATACAGACATACAAACACAACACGTACACACACCTGGAGCAAGACAGAAAGCAAGGTACTCAGTTCCTGTTTAACAGGTCAGAGAACCTTATCCAGGGATGACCCTGGATTCGCCCTAATTCGCGCATTTAGTGGTGATCACGGACAAACCAACCCCGGTGGGCGATGAAGATGTTCCGGAATTCTGACCTGCCGACTGCCAGGGGTCAAACCGACTGCCAGGGGGTCAAATGCCATGAGATCGTACTCATGTTGGAAATCCGCATGTGTCCTGGTAATAACGCCACTAAACACTACTTCGATTGCATGCAATGTCATAGAAATGCTATTCTCGCTGCATACATGAGTCTTTTAGCTGAATAGCAGTTGCCGACTAGCTACAAGCATGGGACCTGGTGGAAGCTCAAGCCCTTTATACGAGTCATGGTCCCTTGTTCAGCGTGACACGATTACCATCTTCTTTATACATGAGTGGTAGGCCATATGCAACTCTTAGAATGTTTTTTTTGCACCCATTGTTTCACATTTCACAACCATACATGTTAGTGCAGTGTGCTTTGAACAGCTGGATCAAAATGGACCATGTGGTTCTGAGTTTCCAAAAGCCAAAGAGTGTTTGAAAAGAAACGCTGCTAAACGCCATAGCAAAGAAAGAGACACTAACGCTTAACGCGAAGCTGCTGAGGCTATGTGGCGTCACCTGCCTGCCATCCTGGCAGGAACGGCGGACACGCAGGGAATCGAATTAGCCACACCTCTGGTTTTCCACACGCGTTGCTTAACCAACACAGTACCAGAACCTTCTCATACGACCTGGAAACACGCCACTGTAATCAGTTCACCTGTCTTCAGGTGCCCGCGGAATAAACTTTCGACCGCCGACAAATGCAATTATGCAAAATGAACAGGGTATGTCGACGTGGTGGCAACGCAGAAACGAGTACTTTTTTGGTTAAAATGGTACCTAAGTGATGCGTAACGAAGTTGCATCACGACTGGACCTTATTTCTTATGAAGGAATCGACAAAAATAACTTAACATGTGTCCGGGTGGCTGGTTGAATATGACGCGCCAGGTTGGGGTCAGTTTGTCCCCCTGATAACTCCCAAGAAACACAGCTAGAAGCATGACATTTACAGGGTAGGTACGCCTGCATGCAACTTCACTTTCACAAAATTTGAAGTTCGTAGGTCCAGATCTTCAAGTCAAATGAGTTCAATGACCAACTCTGAGCTGGTGCCCAGGTCCCCTAAATCTTCTCATGCAAGCGCCTTAAACCGAGATACATGTTTTAAGTAAAATGTCGCTGGTGTTAATTTTAGACCAATGGCATTGTTTCACCTTGAGAAGGTCATGGTGACTCAACACCTGCGAGATTGCTTTTATTGTTGAATTTTGACAACTGTCAAGGATTGCGCTGTGCGATATGTTTATAAAACCCAAAAGTCGATCCGGGCTATTTTAGGTCAGTGACCTACTCTGATTTTAAGGAAATTCAAGGAGCAAGTCTGTTACAGACCCTGTTATCAAAAAATTGGAAATAAGCATCAGAAGCCACCTCAAATAGAAAATTATTCATTAAAAAATAGACTGCTTTTGACTTCGGTCTGACTTACACACCTGACCCGAGGTCAATGGGATTTGTCATCATTCTAAATACACTTGTCTTATCGTCTAAGAAGCTATCTCGCAAAGGTACAGTTTCTCCTAACACTCAGTAATCGCATCCGACTGCATGATTTCCTTTGACTTGCCTTCGCTGACAGCCTCGACCTGACTTTGACCTGTCATAGGTTAGCGATCTTACAAGGAAATCTAATGCTTGACACCGACAGATCCACTGTTTCATTGTTTACATCTATGCAAGGTTTGGTGCGGCTGTGCCGTGCATTCCATAAATTATTCTGGAAAAATATTCGGGGAACTGACTAGAACTGAAACTGGAACTGAAAACTGGTACTGAAACTGGACCTGAACCCGAGCGCGTATTACCGTGATCAGCCAAAAACGCCAAGAAACGCTCCATGCAGTGTTTGTGTCCACCTGTCCTCATGCATGAAGACAGATGGGCAGACAGAGCTTTTTATGCCGATGAGCTCCAGCTAATTACATGGAAACAGCCGTGAACAAAAGAAAAACAAGCACAAAAACCTGTCGGGGGTTTTTCAAAACCCCTTCGCAAACTGGTAAGCTCTTGAAGATTTCTGCCACTCCAACTGCTGAGGATAAGGGTATGTGTCCCCAACACGGGATGCAAATGAATTGTGTTCGGGCACTCATCTCCGGGACTCACATCATCCAAGCTGTATGGGAACAACACAAGTGATGAGTGCAACGAACCCAGAACAGCCTGTTTTCATCCACAAAGTTGAGATGTTGACGTTGGCACTTGCTCGCGAAAGCCAAGCCCCGAAACGTTATCCACAAAACCGGTTCCCGGAGATAACGCGCTGCGTATTGGTCGCGTGCGAGGGCCGCCCGAGGCCGCAGGTCCCGTATAAAAGCGACGACGACCTGCGGAAGGCGAGCAGCATCCATCTCTGGCGCCGCTTCCACCTGCATCTCAACCACCGACAACAGCAATGGCTGCCCGCGCCTTCGTTCTCCTGCTGCTCGTGGCTTTCGTGGGTGCCCAGACCAATAAGAAGCTGCTCGCAGCCTTCAAACCAAGCGGTGCAGGTGAGTTTTTTCAACGTCCCCTGCTGAGTATACTATCAGGCTTAATGCTGTGTTTTGGAAGGAATAAGAATGCTTCTGGTGTCACTTCTCTGCGTGCATCATCCCCGATGCGTCTGCATGATCGTTAAACACCGTATTGTAAAAATATAGTCTGGAGTGTGTATTGAAATTAAGCAAAATGACTTCAATTGAATGCTTTCAGTCTGCGGCAAAACAAAGTGCCAACCAAACTACGTCTGCGAGGAACAAATCTGTCAGGCCTGCGTTCCAGGTCAGTCAAACACTGCGGTTTTGGTATCATATCTTGAAGCATCTTGGTTCGAGCCTCAAACTCACAGCTCTATCTGCTCTTTCTGTGAACGTATGCCACTCAGATTGCAAATGCAGCTTTCTTGAATCAAGAGCTGAACTTAAGAGCTTACTTTTTCCCTTCAAAGCGCTGGCTTTCGCAGGATTCTTTCCAAAAGCGAGCAGACTATATATATATATATATATATATATATATATATATATATAGCACACACACTTCAAAAGCGCGACGTAGCAATATGTGCATGAATTGATCACATAGGTAGGCGATGCACCTCTGGATGCATTTCTTTCATCACCACTGCCAGTGCCACCGAGACCTCTAATGCTACCAGAATTGCGGTCATGATGTTATACGTTCTATTTCAGAGGCTCCCACCTGTAAAACCTGGCAGTGCCAAGACAATGAGAAGTGCGAGGAAAGACCCACCGGTCCTGCGTGCGTTAGACGTAAGTAACTGCCAAACAAACGCACTTCAAGCAGCCCGCTGGTTATGTAGTGACGCAGGGCTCTGGGGTTTATCCGCCAACAGATCTGCCTACATCGAGGACGCCAGTGCTTGACTGGCGCGGCCTTGAAAGGAGTATTCCACTTTTTTGTACGTTCCACTCATCGTTATATCAGACGCGCCCAATTTGATCAGTAATACCAGCCTTCTGGAAATCCTTCCGAAGACCTCAGAATTTCTAGTTGAAGTGGCAGACCCTGCGGGGAAATCTCATTTGACTCCCTGCATATCACTAAAAAAGTGATATGTTTCATTTGGCCTGCTTTTTCCAACATGTATGTTCTGTAAAGTTTGCAACACACTACTGTGTAAAGCTGTTTGTGTAATAAATGTTACGGAAGCTTGATATAGACAAAAAGATATGCCAACATGAAGCTTTTATCCTATATTGTGTAGTGTTTTCCATGGCGTTGGCAGCGTAATTTGGATTCGCAAATATTTAAAGATGGATATCCTTACTATGTATTTACTGTGTTGCAGTGACACTACTCAACGTTATTATTAGACGTGACTGGCCCTGAAGTTTCACTGACATATGCTTTTTAGATGTGCCCCAAAGGTTAAACACTCCCTTAAGATATTAAATACTCCCTCCCAAAGGTTAAACACTCCCTTAAGGTATTAAACACTCCCTTAAGATATTAAACACTCCCTTAAGGTCTTAAACACTCCCTTAAGGTATTCTTGGAACGGTTCGCAGTGACCTGCGCCGACATCCGATGCGCCGCTGGCGAACTTTGCAACGAACTACCCGACGGGCCGGACTGCGTGCCAGGTATGAACCAGTGCACCTCCGGATGTGTGCTGCCTTAGTCATAAATCGTCAGAATAACAAAACATTACGTGATTCAAGTGATATTGATACATTCGGTTACGTCTGCTAAGTAGCAGCTCAGCCAATCCTTTCTTTGCATCAAAGAGTCATGACTTGAAAATGAAAGAGTCATGAAAAAAACTGTTTTGTGTAATGCATCACTTGATAAGCTATCTGCGTATTCCTTACATCAGTGATAGTGTATTGTCCACAACGCAGTTACGCAATGCTTACGCTAGCATGTTTGTGTTATTCCTAGATGTACCTTCATGCGAAGGCTTCTTCTGTAAGCGCGGCACCAACTGCTACGTCCGTGACGGCTCTCCCATCTGTCTGCCCAATACGTGCGAAGTGCGTGTCTGCGAGGG